ATGTCTAATATTTTAAAAACCGAAGCAGCACAAACAAAACCTTTACCTGCAAAAACCAGCACAAACGAAGCACAAACAAATGAGACTATTTGGGGTGAATTTGGAGTATGTTGGGGGGCTGAGTGACCTCAGAATGACCTATAAATATTATTTTAATATCTAAAAAACCATAGCAGCACAGACGAAAATTTTTACAGCCCAAACCAGCACAAACGGAGCACAAACGATTGAGACTATTTTGCCGACGTTTTGCGTTGGGTGGGGGGGCCAAATTCACGGAGGTTGCTTACCTCACCGGTCACGCTGAAGGCGTTCCCCATAGCGACCCCTAGAGGACGCAGTTCGAAGTTCCCTCGAAAAGGAAACTCCGGTTTCGCTGTCTACACGATAACATTGCAACCGGAGTTTTTGAAAATCTTCACCCTGGCAGGAGTTTTCAAAAATGTTAGGTTTCAGTGACCTGGTGCTGCGTTTGTGCGTGGACGAACGGCCAAACCGCGTAGAAAAAGCTGCGGTTTTAAAAATAACCACGTTCGTGTGGACAGGGCCTTAGACACTTTTCATTTACACACATTTCATTTTAATCGCGACAGCTGCAATAGATTGTTTAATTGTGCAGGAGCATTTTTTGCCGCATTATCTTAAATTTGTGGGCATTTTGCCACAAGCCCCTGTTAATTGCCAGCACTGCGGGCCACCATGCTGAATATGCTGAACTCTTGCTCAACACATTATTTCTTGGTGGCTATCAAGTTTTTTGTTTCTTTTTTTTCCTTTCTGTAGAGTCACTGGGATTACAAGTCTTTCTCATTAGCAGGAGAATATCTGGCAATGCCAGTTCTGCCCTCACCTATCAATAAGGCATTGATTATTATACTGATACTGTTACTCAAAGCATGCTTTTCTAGTCAGCCGGAGAGAAAGTGTGCCTTGACCTTTTGAGCCCATTTCAAGTTTTTTGAAAGATTTATGGTCACTAAGTATAGTGAAGGGCAGACCTTGTAGATAAGAAACAAGTATTTCACACTCCAGCATCACTGCCACTGACTCGTTTTCAGTTGTCAGTATACATCAGACTCCTGGATATGTATGTGACAGGTTTCCATCATATCGTTTCTGTGTCAAGACAGCACCTAACCCACAAGAGAATGCATCTGCAGCAACCTTTGGTGAGCTCAGGTCCTCTCTCAGCCTGCGAAAGGTCTGTCTCTGAGGTTCGACCATATCCATACTTATACCACAAATGAATGGTAAAAATGTAGCAAGGTACATTTAGTGTGAGACCCACTGACTGAATATTTGTCAAAACCCTGGCAGGCTTTGTTTTGCCTGAAGACAAGAATGTCGTCGGTATGACAAATCACTCCATTGACTGGTTTACTGTTTACTGGCTTCATGAAAGATAAATGTCAACAAACCTACTTTGACATCAGCAGGATTTCCATATGCAATATGCATTTTGTGACCCTGATGCTGCTAGCTACTAATACGACCCACTTATAATCATGGAAAGCCTATATGACATTACTGAATTCATAGCAGGTGAAATACAGAATACAGAGGATATTCAGATTCAAGACTACAAATGCCTGTTCCTGTCAAAACCTTGTCAAAACCACTAGATGTTTATAAATATAATTGTAAAAATGAGGCAGTATGAAATATTGAATACTAAGGACCCTCAGCATGCAGTGCCCTAAGTCAAATAAACATTTAATAGGTATTGCATTATGCTGTCAGGATGGGGGAGTTAGAGGGAGTAATTAAAATGTAATGTAATTAAATGAAAAGAAGACGAAATGGAATATTTGTGTTAAGAACACTCTAGTTATCATGTGTGATTAATTTTAAAGTGTGTTATTTTAAACTGGTATTTTAAAAAAGCAACAGCAGATTAAATTGTGGGACAGGTTTTGTCACATATCTCAATCAGCGATTTATATTTTATTTATATTTCTGATGGTTCTCATTCTCTGACTCACTCATTTTAATAGTTTAATATTCAGTAGTTATTGTGTTACATATTAAATGAAAAATCTATCAGCTATCTAGTTGAAGTGTCCACTTTGATAAATGTGACCTGTTTTAATGAAATGGCTTGTGAAGTCTCACAATCAGATATTTCAATTCCTCTATGGAGGATGTCACAACACAGACATTGATAGACACAGCCCATTTTCTCACCATATTCACGCAGTTAGAAAATCACAGATGTACTCACTATTATTACTGTGATCACAGGTGTATTCACTTTTCAGGGATGCACAATCCTGCTCCTGGAGATTTACTGTACCTACCTGCAGAGTTCAGTTCCAGTCCTGCGCCAGCACAGCTGTCTGGAATTAATCATGTGCTCATGAAGATCTCAGTTAGCTGGTTCATGTGTGGTTGATCAGGGTTGGAGCTGAACTTTGCAGGTAATCACGAATTGCTGCGTTTTTATTACGCTGCTTGAGGTACATATTGCGGCTGAGTGTCGCTAAAGGTTAATGCTCTATCGTGTTGGAATATATCCCCTACACCAAACCCAACCCTAAACCTACCCGATAGTGAAATGCAAAAATGATATAAAAATGCATTTGTTGGTGCAGCCGTGCTATTTTAACTTCCTTATGCGGATTTGAGCTGTTTTGTCGAACCGTAGTTTCACGGAGTTCGTGCAGGAGCTCTTCATCACTCAAGTGCAAGTGAGCTACCGATCAAACCTACTAAATTAGAAAACTCATGCACATGAAGCTGTATATGTGACGGCAACATTCAAAAGTATCAGTTTTCAAATCGCACAGGATGTTAAAATTGTTTTGAAGTCATAACAATATGCTGCAACTAATTGTGTGAAAATTAGCCTTCCTTAATCAAAA